GTTCGTGGATTGTTGCCTTGTTCGTGCTTTTGTTGCCTTGTTCGTGGATTGTTGCCTTGTTCGTGTTTTTGTTGCCTTGTTCGTGGTTTTTTGCCTTGTTCGTGGTTGTTTGCCTTGTTCGTGGTTTTTTGCCTTGCTCGTGGTTGTTTGCCTTGTTCGTGGTTTTTTGCTTCGAACCACGAGCGATTTGCCTTGAACCACGAACGATTTGCCTTGAACCACGAAAGGTTTTTGAACCACAAACGATTTGCCTTGAACCACGAACGATTGGCCTGCCAACCCTTCGTGGTTCAAGGCAAGCCCTGGCCAGAACCACGAACCAAGGCAAATCGTTCGTGGCTCAAGGCAAAAATTGCGAATTTGCCTTGAACCACGAACGATTTGCCTTGAACCACGAACGATTTGCCTTGAACCACGAACGATTTGCCTTGAACCACGAAGGTCATTAAAGTTTAGACTAACATGTTATAGAGAGGTTCAGGGTTTAAGGTTTAGGCGGTTTAGGGTGAATGTACTTGAAGGTGTGGGCTGGGAAGACTGCCTGTGCGAGCGTCCATGGTCAATCGAGCCAATCTGACGTCAAAGGCCACCTGGTTGAATTCCTTGGTGTACTTCACTTTAGCGGTACATGAACAGTACAAGGGTCTATACGAAGGTCTTTTGGCTTGGCTTTCAACCTGAACTAATGTGAACTTCCATTACAGAACCTCAAGCAACTCCGTAGTGCCTGTATAAAACCTGCATGAGAATTCCCTTCGAAGAGCTTTTAACGAAGAGCGCTGACTAACCCCCAAGACCGAGATCCCAGTAGCCCTCAACGGGCCAAAACCCTAAACCCTAAACCCTAAACCCTGCACCCTAAACCCTAAATCCTAAACCCTAAATCCTGAACCCTAAACACTAAATCCTAAAACACAAGACCCTGTTAACCCTAGAAGCCCTGAAGAACTTCTAGGGTTTCTAGAGCCACACCTGAGCGCCTGCTCATGTAGGTGCCTTAATATTAGAATAGGGTTTTGGGCTCCTTCATAGTATATTTATAAAAAGGAACGCTAAGAATTGTATTGGCAATTATCTAGGCGTCTGTGTTGATGAAAAACCTTCTTCACAGACTGCGAGGGATACCCCAGTGAAGAGTTTCATTAGCATGTTAGGGTGCAGGAATTCGGCTTTAGGGTTTGGGGAGTTACGGGTACAGGATTTGGGATTACAGTAGAAGCCAGAAACTTGGAACATAATTATCCTCATGCCCTTCAGGTAAAGCTAAACCCTAAACCCTAAACCCCTAAACCCCTAAAACCCTAAACCCTAAACCCTAAACCCCTAAAACCCTAAATAACCAAGTATAGGGATCCCAGCACTATTCATCCCAAACCCATGTTCCAAGTTTCTGGGGTCCACTATAAGGCATACAGGTTTCAGGGGCTCTGGGGATTGAGGGGCCCAGAAATTGAAGTTTAGGACTCAGGAGTTTAAGAAAGACAAGGGTTTAGGGTTTCGGGTTTC